CTCTCCCAAACTGCATCTCCATACTTCCTACCTTCTTCAAGGCCACCTCTTCTCTATCTTTAGCTGTGGAGTTTGTTCTGCCAGTCTTAAGGTTTGTTTTGGGGGTATTTAGGATGGTTTGATGGTTATCTAGTTGTATTTGTGGAATGAGGTGAGCCTAGGTTCCTCCTACCCTGCCGCCACCTTCCTCTCCATCCTTCTCATTTCTTAATGTGTTTTTTAGTAGAAGTTTCCCTCTTAGAACTGCTTTTGCTGCATCTCATACGTTTTGGTATGGTGTGTTTCCATTTTTATTTGTCTCAAAGTACTTTTTAATTTCCTCTTTAATTCTCTATTTGATCCATTTTTGTTTAGAAAATTTACTAATTTTTATCATTCATGTTTGCTTTCCTGTTTTCCTCCTGGTATTGATTTCTAGTCCCATACCATTTTTGTGAGAGAAGATATTTGGTATGATTTCAGTCTTCCTAAATTTGCTAAGACCTCTTCATGTCCTATCTTATGGTCTATCCCAGAAAATGTTCCATGTGTACTTAAGAAGAATGTGTATTCTGCTGTTGTCAGAATGTTCGGTATATGTCAGATCCATTGGGGTCTATAGTGTTGTTCAAATCTGTTTTGTTTTTTATTGTTTGGATAATTGCTGAGAGTGGGTATAAATGTCCTCAACTATTATTACATTCCTTATTTCTCCTTTAGCTTTGTCAGTTTTTATTTTGTATAAATATAAATTTATATGCATGTGTGAAATATATACATTTATATACATATTTGCTTGATATATCTTTTTCAATCCCTTCATTCTATGTGTGTCTTTGAGGCTAGACTGAGGCTCTTCTATGGAGCATACCACTGGATATTGTTTTTTAAAATCCTTTAGCTCTTTTATGTCTTTTTATTGGAGAATTTAATCCATTTACATTTAAAGTAATTATTGATAGATAAGGATTCACTATTGTCATTTTATTGTGTACTGGATGTTTGGTAGACTTGTTCCTTCTTTCTAATCCTGCTGTGTTTTTTTTGTGTGTGTGTGTGTGTGTGTGTGTGTGTGTGTGTATGTTTTGATGTCTTTTGGTATTAATCTGCTTTTATTTCTTTATCATATTCTTGTATGTAATTACTACAGGTTTTTCCTTTGTGGTTACCATGAGGCTTACATAAAATATTTTGAAATTATAACAGCCTATTTTGAACAGACTACAAACTTCAACAGTATTCCCAAACCTTATAATTTTCTCCTCCCCTTCACATTTTATTTTATTGATGTTTCAGTTTATATATCCTTATATTGGGTAACCAGTAACAGATTATTATAGTTGTGGTTATTTTCACATTTGTTTTTTTTAACTTTTAAACTATTTATAAGTGAATTATGCACCACCATTAGCATATTATAGAATCTAACTTATATTTACCATTACCAGTGAGTTTTATGCTACCATTTAATGTTTTTACAATGTTATTAACATCCTTTTACTTCAAGTTAGAGACCTCCCTTTAGCTTTTATTATAAGGCAAGACTAGAGGTGGTGAACTCCCTCAGCTTTTGTTTGGGAAAGTCTTTATGTCCTCTTCGTTTCTGAAGAACGGTTTTGCCAGGTGTTGAATTCTTAGCTAGCAGTTTTTGTCTTTCAATATTTTGAGTATCTCATCCTATTCTCTTACTGGCCTGAAAAGTTTCTATTAAGAAATCTACCAATAATCTTGGAGGGCTTCTGTTATCCATAGCTTCTCTCTTTTCTCTTGCTGTTTTAAGAAATCTGTGTGTTTGACTTTTGACAGTCAACTATAGTAGTTATTGTTGTAGCCCTATTCAGGTTCAACCTGTTTGGGGTCTTGAGTTTCATGGATTTGATGTCCATTTCTCTCTCCAGGTTTGGGAAGTTTTTGGCCATTATTGCTTTTAATATGCTTTGTCTCTTTCTTTTGATTGTGTCCCATAAATCCCATAGGTTTTCTTCACTCTTTTTCCATTCTTTTTTCCTTTTTCTCCTCTGTCTGGATAATTTCAAATGTCCTGTGTTCTAGGTCACTGATTCTTTCTTCTGCATGGTCAAATCTACTCTTGAAGCTGTCTATTGGATTGAATTCTTCACTTTAGTCATTGTATTTTTAGCTCTAGATTAAAAAAAAAATTCTTTTTGATGGTTTCTACTTCTTGGTTGAACTTTTTTAAAGAAAAATTATTTATTTGAAAGAGAGTGAGCAAGCGAGAGAGAGTGAGTGAGCGAGAGAGCGCATGAGCAGGAGAAGGGGAGAGGCAGACTCCCCTGCTGAGGAGGGAGCCCAATTTGGCTCTTGGTCCCAGGATTCTGGGATCACAACCTGAGCTGAAATCACTTAACCAATGGAACCACTCAGGTGTCCCCTGTTGAACTTATTTTTAATGCATTGCTCCCAAATTTAGTTGTGTGTTCTGGTAGTCAATAAGCTTAAGAGAATTATTCTGAATTCTTTGACAGTTCATAGATCTCCTTTTTCTTAGGGTCAGTTATTGGAGATTTACTAGTTTCCTTTGGCGGTGTTATGTTTTCTTGTTTTTAAATAATTCTTGTTTACTTACATTGGTGTCTATACATTTGGGTAAGTGGTCTTTTCCAGACTTTACAGGTTCCCTTTGGCAGAGATGGTTACTTACCAGTTAGCTCAGTTTGGGTTTCTGGATGTGTGTGCTGGTAACTTTCTTGGGCAGGTGGAGCTTGCTAAACAGGGTTCTATTTTTTGGGGTGAGGCCAATGCCTAACCTCTGAAGTTGGGGGATGTATCACTAGCTTAGAACATTTGGATAGGACTGCTGGCTTGGTTCCCTGCTCAAGTAGTACTGTAGGATGAGATCTGTGGCTGCCTGGGTTCTGTAGTAAGGCTCACTAGATGGTTCAGATTGGGTACTATAGTCAGAAGTAAGTAGAACTATGAATTTGCTTCCTTGCCCTGGCAGTGAAGCAGAGATAGGCCCCAGGGCCCACATGGCTCACTGTGTAGCAAGACTATGTCCCGAATTTCCTGGCCAGCTGGGGCCACTGGTTTTGTTTTTGCAAATGGGGAAAGCCATAGGGTACTTTGTTGAAGTGTCTCTCTCAGCAGGGCCATTAGTGGGCAATGCAGCTTCCCAGATGCTCTGGTTAGGATCTTGATAAAGTGGGCTCAAGACTGCACCTAACAATATGTGGAGATACAAATTAGTTTCCCTGTGCGGGCAGAGTGGGCAAATCAGCTCCAAGACCAACAAGGCTCTTTGTCTGTGGTACTGGCTCATGCCAACCTATGCCCCAAGTGTCCTGGCCAAATGGTGTCACTGGCTTTGCTCTGCAGATGATCAGTTCTGTGTGTTACACTCTCTGCTAGAGTGTTGCTGGGATACACAGCTTCTTGGTGTTCTTGTCAGGCTTTCTGGTCAGGAGGCCCAGAAGCTATACTCAGCAGTGAGCTGGGCTATGACTCAGCTTCCCTACCTGGACAAAGCTGAGGAACCCTCCAAGCCTGGCAAGACTCTTTGTGGTCTCAACTCCAGCCAACCCGCTCCCCTAAGTTCTCTGGCCAAATGGTGTCACTGGCTTTGCTCTGCAGATCAGCTCTGCCTTCCATTCTCTCTGCTCAGCTTCAGCATGTTGGGCCATGCATCTTCCCGGTGTTCCTGATCTGACTTTCTGGTCAGGAGGGCCCAGGAGCTACACTCAGCAATGGATTGGGCTATGACTCAGCTTCCCTGTCTGGGTGAAGGCAGACCAGGCTCCAAGCCCAGCAAAACTCTTTGTTTGAGGACCCGAATTAGGTCGACCTAGAATGTGCCAAGTTCTCTGGCCAGACTGTGCCATCTTGGCTCTGCAAATGAACAAAGCAGCTGCAGCATTGGTACTACTACTAGGATGCTGCGAGAGGAACTGGGTCAGGATCCTATTGCTGGTTGTTGTGAGCTCCTCCCCCTTCTCCATCACAATCTGATTCTTAGTGGTTGAAGCCCTCACTTTCCTCTGTAATCCCTGTAGGGCTCCCAGGAAGCCACCCACATTGCTGGGGGAGCTGGATGTCCACCATAGGCTTTCTTTTCTCACTGGAGTTACCGTAAGCTCAGGGCAGACCTCTTGGTGCAGTGCTGTTCCAGCCTGGGTGAGGGGCAGTACAATCCACATGGGCCACTCCCTTCACCCTTCTAGTGCTGTCTGTCTTGGTCTCTTGTGGTTCGGGGGGATGCTTCAGCCTCATCCCCATGGTCTAGAATTCTCAGTGGTGTCTTGCCTATGAATAGTTGTCAGCTGTTCTCCTTGTGAGGGGGAGCAAGTCAGAACAACCTACATCACCATCTTGTTGATGTCACTCTCCGCTGTTTTCTCTTTATAAGGACACTAATACTACTAGGTCAAGGTTCCACCCTTGGGACCTCACTTTGCCTTTATTACCTCCTTACAAGTTTTACCTCCAAATATGGTTACATTGGGATTTGAGGCTTCAATACATGAATTTGCGGGGAGGGATACAAACATTCAGTATGTGGCTCTGGGGCTTACTGATCTTGCTCTCTGGGTTGTTTTTTTTGAGGAACTCCAAATGACAGCCTTTTTGGTCTTTCCTCTGGGGTTTGTTAGAGTCTCCGGAAGAGCCTTTCAATTTCTGGCCTGCAGGGAAAAGTTTTAGCTGCCAAAATTCTGAAAATTGACTTGGGGAAGATGACTGGAACTTTTAGTACTCACTATTTGGTGTGCATGGGTTCCCTTAATCATCCTGTTTTCAATTATATTACCCCAACCTTCAACTTTGTCTACGGTTCTCTTTCAAAGATCCTCTGTTTGACCCTTTTAAGAAAATAAACCCCCAGGCTATTGCTGAGGTGGGAACAGAGCATCTGCTGAATGGAGAAGCTGGTATAGGGACCCAAGGACCTACTTGCTGTCAAATGACTCCCATTATCAGTCCTCCTTATTTGGCCTCTTTCCTGCCTCTCCAGTGTTTGCTACTGTCCATTCTTGTGGCTTTTGGTTTCTGTGGTGTGAGCTATATTGGCTGTGAACTTTCTCCATTGCTCAGTTTCAACTGCTAAGTGAGTTACTACTATCTATCTTCCAAAATCTTACCACTTTTGTCTTTTCTGCTCTTCCTGTGGCATGGATTTTTAAAAATCCCCTTTAGTCTGTGTTTGTGAGCTTTGGTGGGAACCAAACTAGATTTGTGTGCTCAGTCTTCCATTTTAACCCAGAAGCGTCCATTCTTTTCTGTAGCCGTAGCTTTCAGAGTTAATTTCAGTTCTCTAATTAAATAGATTGATTACTTACTGCCGGTTCTTTCTTTCCATATTGCCCCTTGTCCGAAGTTCTTTATTTGGATGTACTTTTTGGCTGCATTTCTTCATCAAGTTGTTTTTTAAGGAAGAGTTTACTGGCAGTTGTGCCAAGAGGTAGCCTGAGGTAGGTGGGGTGAAGGCAGACAGTCTCTGCTAGGCAAAAAGTAGCTTTAAAAAAAATCCTTTTCTAACCCAATTGCCAGCCTGAAGCCCGCCCCCCTTTCTGAAGATTTATTTATTTATTTTAGAGAGAGAGAGAGAGTAAGCAAGCATGGGAGGTGGAGGAGGGGCAGAGGGAGAGAGAGAATCTCAAGCAGGCTCCCTGCCAATCATGGATCCTGATGCTGGCCTCAGTCTCATGACCCTGAGATCACAACCTGAGCCGAAATCACGAGTCGGAAGCTCAACCAACCGAGCCAGCCCGGCGCCCCTGAAGCCCTTTGTTTTAGAACTTCTAGAGCTACCACTGCTCCTAGGTTTTAGAGCCCTTAGATCTTTGCTGGTGTGTGAATGCCAAACTGTTGCCTTTATGTTCAGCTCTTCACTTCCTAGTTTTGTGGCCTTGGTTAACTCACTTCACTGTTTGGGACCTTGGTTTCTAGTTTGTAAAATGGAGGCCATCATTCCTCCGAAGATTGTTGGGAGAGGCAATACCAGGACTGTCTGTTCAACAGGTACTACTTCCCTTTCTTTGCCACCCACATCCCCACCTGCTTTCCCAACCTTCCTTTCCTTTTTCTCAGATGGACATAAACCATCCTTTGCCTGCTGCCTTAGCACCCCAAATACGTAGCAGTTTGAGACCCCAGTTCTTGGAAACCTTGACAACAGGTGGAAACAAGCCTTGATCCCAGGCATCCCAAAGCCGGACTGGCTTTTCCTAGACGTTCAGGTGCGGAGCCCTTCTCCACCTGCCCTGGCTGGGAGTGCAGGAACTGTCATCTTCCTCCTCTTGTAGCTGCTAGCCTCACAGATAAGATCAGCCCTGAGACAAGAGGATAACCTTCACGGCAGAGCTTTAGCTGGCAAAAGCTCTGACTCAAAACAGTAATTTCCATCAGGGGAGAAAAGATAAGGTTCAGACACCTCTAATCTCCAGGAGAGGATGTTCACGCTCCAGTGTCTTTCTGTGAACCGGCCTCTTGACATTTCTCATCATGGGGCTTGCTCACAATCAACTGTGCTGCTGCTTTCTGAATGAAAAAGGGCGAGTGCGAGACAGGTTTGCTCCTTCCTCCTGCTCCTGTCAGATGGTTGTGAATGAGGGACTGAAGGACTTGAGGGCAGACAGGGAAGAGACCTGCCATGGGTGGATGAATGAATGCTTGTAGAGAAAAGGCGTAAAGAAGCAAATCTCAGTGTTGAATCCACTACGCGTGCCGCTCCCATGCTTAATTCAGGATTCTAGCTCTTGTGACAATGAGAATGTAAGACATGTAAGACAATATAAGATACGAAAAACTGGCTTAAACTGTGGCATCTGTGACAACAGAATAGAAGTTGTAGGTATATTAATTATAGATAGTTATTAAAAAGGATTCAGCGGATCTATGTGTAGCGACACGGAAAGAGGTTTACTTTTGTCACATTACAAAGTGATGTACACAGCGTGAACATTTTATGTGGGGCTGCTCATGTGTGTGCGGGAGATGGATGGAGGCTGTCAGTGTTTACCGTGGTTGTCTCTGACGGTGGGATCTCAGGGGACTTTGGGCTTTTCTGTTTCAGTTAGTTACAGTGGACATATATAATTTTTAGAACCACAAACTATGTTCACTTAAAGAAAAAGCCTCTTTGCTTTGCATTTTCTTGATGACCTCATTGACTTCCACTATGTGTAGTTTTCACAACTGGCACGATGACAGGATTTTCCTCACAGGTTGGTTGGTATGAGGATGAAATAATGTGAAAGCACAACCTCATTGCTCCGTTGAACCTGCTGGCTGAAACAGCTTTAAACAGACGCGGACTGAAAGTTTTTCCCCCTTACAACAGGAAACGTGGTGGGTAGAAGGGGGTGAGAAAGGCCGAATCACGGACTTGTGTTCGAATCCTCAATCCGTTGAGCCGCAGACCTGGGCTGCCATACTGGGTGGTGTGGGCATGTTCGTGTTCCCTTGTGTGTGACCCAGACACTGCGGGACGGCCACCGACTGGAGCTGTGCAGTGTGGTGGCCCGGCCTGGGACTGGAGGCCCAGAGGTGAGGACACCAGGCAGTGTCATCCTTCATCACGTGGGGGAGTGTGGCATTCCCTGTTGGGTGAGGACTGCCTCATCAGGCGTGGGAAGGGCCCAAGGCGGGGCCCAGCCCTGTGGGGCTCAGCAGATCCCAACTCCCTTGAGGGAGTTTTCCAGGCGGACCACGAGGGTATTCTAGGCTTGTCAAGAGATGCAAGTGCAATCATACGTGTTCGGACATAAAAAAGCAGCCAGTTTGTTATTTCTAATGGGCATGAATTTGACTGTCGATGTTAAAATCAGTTTCTTTGAAGAGTCTGTAAACTTAGTTCTTGAAACAGCCTGCCCAGAATGAAACACAAGTGCATTGCTGGCATACACAGAAATGTGGCACTATGCCGCTCCCCAACTCCCTCGGAGGGTCTCCCTGAACGCACAGCCACCAGCACACACGGAGGACTGGAGGCCATACTGGTACTGGACAATGTCCTGGGAAGCTCTCAGAATTACAGTGACATTTTAATTTTATATTTACTTATTTGAGAGAGAGTGTGAGAGAGCATGAGCAGAGTAGAGCGGCAGAGGGAGGGGAGAAGCAGTGTCCTGGCAAGCAGGGAACCAGATGTGGGGCTCGATCCCAGGACCCAGAGATCAGGACCTGAGCAGAAAGCAGAGGCTTAACCCACTGGCTTAACTCCCCAGGCGTTCCTACAGTGCTATTTTAAAATGCCTTTTGCTGCTCCTGTCTCAGCTAGTTTCTTGTCCCTCCAGGCATGGATCTGAGAGTTTGCAACCCTAGACTTAGATGAATGAGCTAGAAGGCCCAAGTAGAGGATGGGACAAAAGGTCACAGAGCACCAGAGGTATTATTTTCCTGACTGGCTTCTAGCAAAAATTTAGAGATTCTAGCAAAAAGCCACATTTTATTGCCAACAGATACGAAACTCCCTTTTTAAAATGGGCCAAAGACTACACTTTGTTAGATGTAATAACGGCTAGTGCCGGCAGTGTTTTATGTTGAACAGACCGTGTACTAAGAGCCTCACATACATGAGCTTATTTAATCCGCACAACTACCGCAGGAGGGAGTGACTGTCATCTTCGGGCACTTGCTGAGAAGCAGAGGAAGTTTACGTGCCCGAGGTCACACTCCTGTCGAGAAGTCTGTTCACTAGAGTAACAACTGTTTATATATGAGAATGTCATGGTTATGCGTTGTCTCTCCGGTATGACCACATCTGATCCTCGCACTTGCCCTAGGAGCTGGGTGTTTATCTCCCATTAGAACGGGGATCATAGGGGTGCCTGGCTGGCTCAGTTACGTGATTGACTCTTGATTTCGGCTCGGGTTGTGATCTCAACGTCATGAGATCGAGCCCCACACTGGGCTCTGTGCTTGGCACAGAGTCTGCTTAAAATTTGTTCTCCCTCTCCCCTGCCCCCAACACACTCTCTCTCTCAAGTAAGTAAATATTTAAATGCAGTTCAAAAGGTGATGGGGGCACTTCCAGAGCCTCAGGGTTTTCAGAACCAAGGTCTTGAGCTCTTTCTTAAACTCAGGGGTTTGTAAGTTCTTTATGAACAAATTGTGCTTTCGATTAGATGATAATCTCTAAAACAGGTACACCCACATACCTTTGGAAATAGAAACTTGCAATCTGAAGCTATTTTCCTAGAACAGGTTTTAGTTCTTAAGTTGTACTTTTAGGTTATTCCTTTGGGTCCGTAGAAATCTTTCCATTAAAGGGAACTGATCCATTCCCAACTTTAAGAAACCGTATCTTTACCAGGCTCCTTCACTTGGTGATAACCTATTTTTAAAATCTATTTTCTACTCAGATTTCAGTCTGTTTTTTATATGGCTTAATCAAAACAAACAAAAGAAACCCCAACTCTCTAGGGGAGTTAACAAGGCGAGCTATTTGACTAGGCTTGAGGTGGTTACTAAGGTATGTTCAATATGGATCAGAAACACAAGCTTTAAAGCTTCCGTGCTGAGGCTGGCAGGTCCTGCCCAACTGACCCTTCTCAAGAAGCAGCCCACGGGACCGAGGGGCACGTTTTTGAGAGGGCCAGGCCAGCCAGGCTGTGGAGGCACCGAGCACCACACTCGCCAGGAAAAGCCTTGGGCAGTCAGAAGAGCGGCTGAAGCCTCTCCTGGCAGGAGATGCCGCAAGAGTTCTGCCTGCTCGCCCTCTATCCCTCGTAGCTTTAAAAGTTCTGCAGCTTTTACACAAGCTTAGAAGACTCACTCCAAGGAAGGCTGAGGATGAGTTAGAAAGAAAGCTATTTTCCTGTGCCTGAGATGAAAATCCAGATGGGACACTGGCTGACAGCCACCAGAAATGGGTACGTTTTTAGGCAATTTTGTCTTAAAATCTTGCTCTAAGTTATTACTTTAAAATAAGCCTTTTTGGGGCACCTGGGTGGCTCAGTGGGTTAAGCCTCTGCCTTCGGCTCAGGTCATGATCCCAGGGTCCTGGGATAGAGCCTCCTATCGGGCTCTCTGCTCAGCGGGGAGCCTGCTTCCCCCTCTCTCTGTTGCTCTGCCTACTTGTGGTCTCTCTGTCAAATGAATAAATAAAATATTAAAAAAATAAAAAAAAATAAGCCTTTTTTACGATTTTATAAGGGACCAGTTTGTACATTACATGTGTGGATCCCTTTAGGGCAGCAGGACACTGAGGACGAGCAACCGGAGGCACAGAAGCTCTTGTGGAAGCTGTGGCCACACTGCAGGCAGGGGCAAGGCTGGGCCAGCGTGCTCTCCATTCCCTTGCCCCCCGTTATGTGTACTAACAGCTAATGCAGTGTACGCACCACGAGTTTAACAATTTCAATTTTGGAGGAAAAACAAGCAAAAGTGAGAAGTAGCTAGATTACACAGTGCACCCCTGAGAACACCCAGGCTAAGCGCCGTGTGGCCGCCAAATGAAACAGTATGCGGCACCCAGAGGAAGTCAGCGGCGTCACGGATTCAGAGCAAATGTCGCTATGTGTGTAACAGGGAAAGGAGAAACACCTTGTATGATTCTTCTCTGTAGGCTGAAGATTTTATTTTTCGAACCTTTCAGGGGAATCAATTCCATTTATTAAACCTTTGTAAAATGCCACAGAAGCCAGGGGGCAGAGGGGTAAGCCATGCTCTGAAGAACTGGCCATCTCCCTCGAAGATCACCTGGAAGTTACAAAGAGGCAGTTCTAGAATATGAACCTTTGAAAAAGCCAGTCTTTTCCCTATTTTTAGATTTGGGCTTGTTTCCCACTTTTTTGCGTTCATAGGCGTTGAACTCTTACCTTTCTTCTGTTAAAGCAAACCGAAACCCATCTTAAAGAATTATGGTGCAGGAAATGGCTTCTGTGGAAGCGCATCTGGACTCAGGGCCACACCTGCCCAGGCAGGGCGGCTCAGACTCTCCCTGCTCAGGACAGACAACAGGGGAAGCCAAACACTTCTGGGGAGAAGTGGTGCCCTCGCTGCTTTGTAGGGGTCAAGAGAGTACAGACAAGACAAATTGTGAAATAAAGGTGGTCTATAACGGCCCATTGCAGATGGCAGACTCCCAAGTGAGTTAGGCTGGTTTCAGGCTGGAAACACCAACCGACAACTTCATTTCCTCTCTCCCCATCACACTGTTCTTTCAAACATCAGCACAGGAATCAGAGTGATTTCCATTAAAACAAAAGCTCATTTCCTTGTGCCAGAATTTATATCAAATAAAAGGACAGAGATCAAAGTCTAACAGTTTTCCCATGTTCCAATCCTTTTGTCCCTACAGTACATAAATAACCTACTCCTAAGTTTATTCCTCAAATGACAATAGCTAGTTTTATTTCACGAATGATGGTGTCCAGATGAGTTACTTTGCTTTCTTCACTGTGCATGAGTCAAAGTAGGTCAACTGCAGGCTTCATGCAGACTTTAGGAACTGGATATGTGACTTGAGAAGATGCAGAGGAGGGTGAGGGGGTGCTCTGAGCACCAAAAGCTTGGTGGGCTTGGTCAGCAGACATCCAGCCTGGCCCTGCGAGCAGATTCCAGTCTCCGCAGCTATAGGATGAGGGAGAAGCTCCTTGCCAGGGAGACAGGCTGGGTCCATTTGTTTAGCTCAGCCTCTCTGTTGAGTATTCAAAATATCTTGAATTTTTATTTTCTGCCGGGGAGGAGACTGCATCAAGGTGAGCTGGTGCGGCCATTACTTTAGTGTCTTTACCATGTATGGACCTTGTAATCTGTAGCCAATCTTTCTGTAATAATTCCTGGTGCCGACCCCTGTGAAGCAGCAGAAAACCGAAGTTAAGAAAAGTCTCTACGAAGTCTTTCGTAAAACCCTCAAAAGCCAGCAAACACCCCCCTCACAGCTGCCCTCTTCCACTCATTCACAGAACAAATTCCAGTCTAGACTGAATCTCACCTTAACAAGTTCGGAAAATTTTTATTATTTTGAATTCAAGCTGTATTAAAACACAGAAACTATTTCAGAGCCTCGTGTGTTGCAATCCTGCAGACACCTCCCTGTGAGAGGAGGTGGATCTGTGTGAGAATGTCCACACTCTCAATGGAGCCAAACAGCAGTACCGTTTCCGGGAAGCTGTGAGAAGAGGCGTGGGAAACAGGGTCTGCACGGAGCGCCAGGAGGAAAAGGGCCTGGAAGCAAGAGCTGCGCTTTAGTGTCCGCGCCAGCCTCCGCAGTGTGAGTGACAATTTCAGCAAAATATTGGTCACATTAAATCAATGCTACTCAATTTGCACTTTACTAAAGTTTTGTTTGTCTTAACTGGCATATTTACTTTCATGTATGAGCAATGTAAGTACGAGGAGTTCATACCAGTTTTAAGTTTGCACGCATTTAAACAATGTAGCTGATGTAAGTCAGCACTAAAGATCCAGGAACTTATTTCTTTAGAGAAACACTAACCTAAGTGGTGTTCCTAAAGTAAAAACAGTCTTAACACATAAGACGCTGAGCTCCTAAGAGGATAGAGCACAGCATCTCAGGCAGTATCTCCAGGAGTGGTTAAGAGGATGGACTTTGGATCAGTCTGCTATGGGTCTGAGATCTAGACCTCACTGTATAGGTCTGTGGCCTGGGCCACTTACTTAACTTCCCTATTATTTGATTGTCTGTAATAACATACTTAAGTTTTAAAGGTGTCAAGTATTAAACGAGACAGTCTATGAAATGTGATTAGTTCAGAGTCTGAAAAAGGCCGATTCCTCAGAAACACTGGCTGCTGTTGTTACTCTTTTAAAAGTTTTTTATGAACTGGAACCTGCTTATATTTCTAACTTCATCTCTTGCTACAACTCTCTCCCTAAATTATGCTTCAGCCTTGGTGAATCTAAAATTTTTCTAGGCTCTTTGCATGTCTGGCTCTTTCTCTTGCTTCCAGGTCTCTTTGCTCATGCTGTTCCCCCTACCAAATTAGTTGAACCTGAGGAGGGGGGTAGTGGAAACTTCCATTTATAGGTCAGACACACAGGTAACAAGCTGGACTTGCAATGGGCATCTGAAGTAAAGACATTCTTGTGGGCTTGAGTCCTTAACCCGTGGGATCTGATACTAATTCCAGGGAGACAGTGTTGGAATGGAGTTAAATTACAGCTGGTATTGCAGATTTGCTTGATGTGTGGAAAACCGCTGCGTCTGGTGTCGGTAGTGTAAGTATTCACAGAGCACTGTGTGCAATGTGAGCGAAAACAACAACATGTGTCTTTACGGTGCTTTGCCCCCCAAAGCTCTCCCCACAGTTGACTATGTGCTGCTTGCCTCCCTGTGTGGTGGAAGTTCTATTTACCTTGTTGATCAAGTGTATTCCTAGTGCAGAGGACTGTGCCTGGAATCAAGTAATTGTTAGCTCTTTCAAGTCTAGCTTAGTTCTTTAGTCCAAACATTTGCTATTGAGGAATAGGCCTTCCCACCATGTTTTGTTTCCCATCCCCCTCAAAATTTTTCAAGTGTTTAGAAAATGGAACTAAAGCTGTCATGACAAAAGTCACGAAACTGACCCGTGAGAATAGGTCGCTGGAGACTTTCCCTTTAAAATCAACGATTACTGATACTCCATCTCGCACAACTGCACCGTGTCTCTGTTCTATTCATTACTTCTGTTCAACACTGTGGCTTAGGGTAGAGCAAGGGGAAAACAAAAACACTGCACAGGTCAGGTGGCAGCTCAGAACCCCAGAGGTACACTACCTCTTCTAAAGTTCTGTATCTGTAAGCATATCCTATAACCTAGCAATTCTACTCCTGAGTGAAAAGAGAAATGAATGCTTACATCTAACAAAAGACATAATTTATAATATCCAAACAGGAAATATCCCAAATATCTATCAACAGAATGGGTGAACTGTATTTTCACATAATAGAATACTACACAGCAATGAAAAAGGAACTTTCTCTGTAAGAACATGGATGAACCTCACAGACCTAATGTATATGAAAGAAACCAGATATAAAAGGTTAACACAAGTTCACCTGTTAACACAATGTTCAGATAGGGGCAAAACTAATTTTATCGTCCTAGAAGTCAGAGTACTGGTTTCATATGGAAGACGGTATGGACTGAAAGAGGGAAGAAGAAAGTCTTCTGCAGTGCTGAAAATGTTCTAAATCTAGTAGCTACATGGGAACATGTAGCTAAATGTAAATTATGGGAACATAATTTACATGCAAAAATTAAGTGGTGTGCTTCCAGTCAGAATGGCTAAAATTAACAAGTCAGGAAATGACAGATGCTGGTGAGGATACAGAAAAACGGGAACCCTCCTACACTGTTGGTGGGAGTGCAAGCTGGTGCAACCAGTCTGGAAAACAGCATGGAGGTTCCTCAAAAAGCTGAAAATAGAGCTACCTTACAACCCAGAAATTGCACTACTGGGTGTTTACCCTAAAGATACAAATGTAGTGATCCAAAGGGGCATGTGCACCCGAATGTTTATAGCAGCAATGTCCACAATAGCCAAACTAGGAAAGAACCTAGATATATATAAAGAACCTATATATATATCTATCTATATATATATACACACACACACACACACACACACATATACATACACACACATACATACAATGGAATACTATGCAGCCATCAAAAGAAATGAAATCTTGCCATTTGTGATGACGTGGATGGAACTAGAGGGTATTATGCTTAGAGAAATAAGTCAATCAGAGAAAGACAACTATCATGATCTCCCTCATATGAGGAAGTGGAGATGCAATGTGGGGGATGTGGAGGATAGGAAAAGAATAAATGAAACAAGATGGGATCGGGAGGGAGACAAACCCTAAGAGACTCTTAATCTCACAAAACAAACTGTGGGTTGCCAGGGGGAGGGCAGTAGGGAGAGCGTGGTGGGGTTATGGACATTGGGAAGGGTATGTGCTATGGTGAGTGCTGTGAAGTGTGTAAACCGATTCCCAGACCTGTACCCCTGGGGCTAATAATACATTATATGTTTATAAAAAATATTAAGTGGTGTGCTTAACACGTACACGTATCTCAATTAAAAAAAAAAATAAAGCTCCAGAGGGACACTCAATTTAACAGATGTTTCAATGTATTTTGAGAGATCAATTTGTCCAGAGAATTCAGTAAAATAAGGTACAAGGAATAGGATGAGTGGCCCACTTCACACTGAACCGCCCACTTGACCAAACCACCAGGAGACTCTTGCACATATGTTCACTATCCACAAAGAAGCAAGAAATCATAGCCCCTCTTTCTATGCTAGCTGCATCCCTTCCTTACTGCCCTGTTTTGGTAATCATGCTGTGCTTTATTTTACTTGCATGTCTAGCTCCCCTCCCAGGATGTAAGCTCTTTAAAGTCGATGACTTCCATCATTAGGGCTTAATAAGCGCCTGGCATATCATGAACATGCAATGAATGCTTGCAGATATACTGTACTGTATTCAGTTATTATGTGGTATACATACAGAGAACTGTGCTCCTGGGTGATGTCCTTAAAAAAAGAAAAAGAAAAAATTGCCACTGTGTTGTTAGGTGCCAGTCAGTGGGAATGACTCAATGTAAAAGGCATCAAGGGGAGGAGGAGTCAAGATAGCGGAGAAGTAGCAGCTGACACTACTGCAGGTAGCAGGAGATCAGCTAGATAGCTTATCTAAAGATTGCAAACACCTACAAATCCAACGGAGATCGAAGAGAAGAATAACAGCAATTCTAGAGACAGAAAATCAACCACTTTCTGAAAGGTAGGACTGGCGGAGAAGTGAATCCAAAGCGACGGGAAGATAGACCGCGGGGGGAGGGGCCGGCTCCCGGCAAGCGGCGGAGCAACGGAGCACAAAATCAGAACTTTTAAAAGTCTGTTCTGCTGAGGGACATCGCTCCAGAGGCTAAACCGGGGTGAAGCCCACGCGGGGTTAGCGTGGCCCCAGGTCCCGCAGGGTCACAGAAGGATCGGGGGTGTCTGAGTGTCGCTGAGCTTGCAGGTATTAGAACGGGGAAGCCAGCTACAGAGAGCTGAGGAGTGAGCTCTCAGCTTGGGGTTACCTTGAACCGGTCACAGGCTCGGTCAGCTCAGAGCGCGGCCGGAGGCCAGGGAGACGGGAGTTATTGGGCGCTATTCTCTGAGGGCGCACTGAGGAGTGGGGCCCCGGGCTCTCGGCTCCTCCGGTCCGGAGACTGGGAGGCCGCCATCTTCATTCCCGTCCTCCGGAACTCTACGGAAAGCGCTCAGGGAACAAAAGCTCCTGAAAGCAAACCCGAGCAGATTACTCAGCCCGGCCCCTGGTAAGGGTGGTGCAACTCCGCCTGGGGCAAAGACACTTGAGAATCACTACAACAGGCCCCTCCCCCAGAAGATCAACAAGAAACCCAGCTAGGACCAAGTTCACCTACCAAGGAGTGCAGTTTCAATACCAAGGAGAGCAGTGGAATTCCACAGGAGGAGAAAGCAAAGCACGGAACTCATGGCTTTCTCCCCATGATTCTTTAGACTTGCAGTTAATTTGTTTTTTTTTTTTTCAAAATTTTTTTCTTCTAAATTTTTTTTAACTTTTACCCTTTTCTTTTTTTGAACATTTTTAACTAGTTTATCTAATATATATATATATATATTTTTTTTTTCTTTTTAAAATTTTTTCTTTATTCATTTTCTTTTTTAAATTCTTTTTTTTTCCTGAACCTCTTTTTATCCCCTTTCTCCCACCCACGATTTGGGATCTCTTCTGATTTGGTTAAAGTGTATTTTCCTGGGGTCTTTGCCACCCTTTTAGTATTTTACTTGCTCCTTCATATACTCTTATCTGGACAAAATGACAAGGCGGAAAAATTCACCACAAAAAAAAGAACAAGAGGCAGTACCGAAGGCTAGGGACCTAATCAATACAGACATTGGTAATACGTCAGATATAGAGTTCAGAATGACGATTCTCAAGGTTCTTGAAAAACGCATGGAAGATATTAGAGAAACCCTCTCGGGAGATATAAAAGGCCTTTCTGGAGAAATAAAAGAACTAAAATCTAACCAAGTTGAAATCAAAAAAAGTTATTAATGAGGTGCAATCAAAAATGGAGGCTCTCACTGCTAGGATAAATGAGGCAGAAGAAAGAATTAGCGATATAGAAGACCAAATGACAGAGAATAAAGAAGCTGAGCAAAAGAGGGACAAACAGCTACTGGACCACGAGGGGAGAAGATGGAGGAGAAGTAGCACTTCAAAGTAGCACTTCTAAGTAACACCATAAGATGAAACAACATTAGAATAATTGGGATTCTTGAAGAAGAAGAAAGAGAGGGGGGAACAGAAGGTATATTGGAGAGAATTATTGGAGAGAATTTCCCTAATATGGCAAAGGGAACAAGCATCAAAATCCAGGAGGCGCAGAGAACCCCCCACAAAATCAACAAGAATAGGTCCACACCCCGTCACCTAATAGCAAAATTTACAAGTCTTAGTGACAAAGAGAAAATCCTGAAAGCAGCCCGGGAAAAGAAGTCTGTAACATACAATGGTAAAAATGTTAGATTGGCCGCAGACTTATCCACAGAGACCTGGCAGGCCAGAAAGAGCTGGCATGATATATTCAGAGTACTAAACGAGAAAAACATGCAGCCAAGAATACTAGATCCAGCTAGGCTATCACTGAAAATAGGAGAGATTAAAAGCTTCCAGGACAAACAAAAACTGAAAGAATTTGCAAACACCAAGCCAGCTCTACAGGAAATATTGAAAGGGGTCCTCTAAGCAAAGAGAGAGCCTAAAAGTAGTAGATCAGAAAGGAACAGACAATATACAGTAACAGTCACCTTACAGGCAATACAATGGCACTAAATTCATCACTCTCAATAGTTACCCTGAATGTTAATGGGCTAAACGCCCCAATCAAAAGACACAAGGTATCAGAATGGATAAAAAAACAAAACCCATCTATATGTTGCCCACAAGAAACTCATTTCAGACCTGAAGACACCTCCGGATTTAAAGTGAGGGGGTGGAAAAGAATTTACCATGCTAATGGACATCAGAAGAAAGCAGGAGTGGCAATCCTTATATCAGATCAAATAGATTTTAAGCCAAAGACTATAATAAGAGATGAGGAAGGACACTATATCATACTCAAAGGATCTGTCCAACAAGAAGATCTAACAATTGTAAATATCTATGCCCCTAACGTGGGAGCAGCCAACTATATAAACCAATTAATAACAAAATCAAAGAAACACATCAACAATAATACAATAATAGTAGGGGACTTTAACACTCCCCTCACTGAAATGGACAGATCATCCAAGAAAAGATCAACAAGGAAATAAAGGCCTTAAAAGACACACTGGACGAGATGGACATCACAGATATATTCAGAACATTTCATCCCAAAGCAACAGAATACACATTCTTCTCTAGTGCACATGGAACATTCTCCAGAATAGATCACATCCTGGGTCCTAAATCAGGTCTCAACTGGTATCAAAAGATTGGGATCATTCCCTGCATATTTTCAGACCACAATGCTCTGAAGCTAGAACTCAATCACAAGAGGAAATTCGGAAAGAACCCAAATACATGGAGACTAAACAGCATCCTTCTAAAGAATGAATGGGTCAACCCGAAATTAAAGAAGAATTGAAAAAATTCATGGAAACAAATGATAATGAAAACACAACGGTTCAAAATCTGTGGGACACAGCAAAGGCAGTCCTGAGAGGAAAATATATAGAGGTACAAGCCTTTCTCAAGAAACGAGAAAGGTCTCAGGTACACAACCTAACCCTACACCTAAAGGAGCTGGAGAAAGAACAAGAAAGAAACCCTAAACCCAGCAGGCGAAGAGAAATCATAAAGATCAGAGCAGAAATCAATGAAATAGAAACCAAAAAAACAATAGAACAAATCAACGAAACTAGGAGCTGGTTCTTTGAAAGAATTAATAAGATTGATAAACCCCTGGCCAGACTTATCTAAAAGAAAAGAGAAAGGACCCAAATAAATAAAATCATGAATGAAAGAGGAGAGATCACAACTAACACCAAAGAAATACAGACAATTATAAGAACATATTATGAGCAACTCTCTGCCAACAAATTTGACAATCTGGAAGAAATGGATGCATTCCTAGAGACATATAAACTACCACAACTGAACCAGGAAGAAATAGAAAGCCTGAACAGACCCATAACCAGTAAGGAGATTGAAACAGTCATCAAAAATCTCCAAACAAACAAAAGCCCAGGGCCAGACGGCTTCTCGGGGGAATTCTACCAAACATTTAAAGAAGAACTAATTCCTATTCTCCTGAAACTGCTCCAAAAAATAGAAATGGAAGGAAAACTTCCAAACTCATTTTATGAGGCCAGCATCACCTTGATCCCAAAACCAGACAAGGATCCCATCAAAAAAGAGAACTACAGACCAATATCCTTGATGAACACAGATGCAAAAATTCTCACCAAAATACTAGCCAATAGGATTCAACAGTACATTAAAAGGATTATTCACCACGACCAAGTGGGATTTATTCCAGGGCTGCAAGGTTGGTTCAACATCCGCAAATCAATCAACACATTAATAAAAGAAAGAACAGGAACCATATGATACTCTCCATAGATGCTGAAAAAGCATTTGACAACGTACAGCATCCCTTCCTGATCAAAACTCTTCAAAGTGTAGGGATAGAGGGCACATACCTCAATATTATCAAAGCCATCTATGAAAAACCCACCGCAAATATCATTCTCAATGGAGAAAAACTGAAAGCTTTTCTGCTAAGGTCAGGAACACGGCAGGGATGTCCGTTATCACCACTGCTATTCAACATAGTACTAGAAGTCCTAGCCTCAGCAATCAGACAACAAAAAGAAATTAAAAGCATCCAAATCGGCAAAGAAGAAGTCAAACTATCACTCTTCGCAGATGATATGATACTATATGTGGAAAACCCAAAAGACTCCACTCCAAAACTGCTAGAACTTGTACAGGAATTCAGTAAAGTGTCAGGATATAAAATCAATGCACAGAAATCAGTTGCATTTCTCTACACCAACAACAAGACAGAAGAAAGAGAAACTAAGGAGTCAATCCCATTTACAATTGCACCCAAAACTATAAGATACCTCGGAATAAACCTAACCAAAGAGGCTAAGAATCTATACACAGAAAACTATAAAGTACTCATGAAAAAAATTGAGGAAGACACAAAGAAATGGAAAAATGTTCCATGCTCCTGGATTGGAAGAACAAATATTGTGAAAATGTCTATGCTACCTAAAGCAGTCTACACATTTAATGCAATTCCTATCAAAGTACCATCCATTTTTTTCAAAGAAATGGAACAAATAATCCTAAAATTTATATGGAACCAGAAAAGACTGCGAATAGCCAAAGGAATATTGAAAAAGAAAGCCAAAGTTGGTGGCATCACAATTCCGGACTTCAAGCTCTATTACAAAGCTGTCATCATCAAGACAGCATGGTACTGGCACAAAAACAGACACATAGATCAATGGAACAGAATAGAGAGCCCAGAAATAGACCCTCAACTCTATGGTCAACTAATCTTCGACAAAGCAGGAAAGAATGTCCAATGGAAAAAAGACAGCCTCTTCAATAAATGGTGTTGGGAAAATTGGATAGCCACATGCAGAAAAAATGAAATTGGATCATTTCCTTACACCACACATGAAAATAGACTCAAAATGGATGAAGGACCTCAATGTGAGAAAGGAATCCATCAAAATCCTTGAGGAGAACACAGGCAGCAACCTCTTTGACCTCAGCCGCAGCAACAGCTTCCTAGGAACATCGCCAAAGGCAAGGGAAGCAAGGGCAAAAATGAACTATTGGGATTTTATCAAGATCAAAAGCTTTTGTACAGCAAAGGAAACAGTTAACAAAACCAAAAGACAACTGACAAAATGGGAGAAGATATTTGCAAACGACATATCAGATAAAGGGCTAGTGTCCAGAATCTATAAAGAACTTAGCAAACTCAACACCCAAAGAACAAATAATCCAATCAAGAAATGGGCAGAAGACATGAACAGACATTTCTGCAAAGAAGACATCCAGATGGCCAACAGACACATGAAGAAGTGCTCCATATCACTCGGCATCAGGGAAATATAAATCAAAACCACAATGAGATATCACCTCACACCAGTCAGAATGGCTAAAATTAACAAGTCAGGAAATGACAGATGCTGGCGGGGATGTGGAGAAAGGGGAACCCTCCTACGCTGTTGGTGGGAATGCAAGCTGGTGCAACCACTCTGGAAAACAGCATGGAGGTTCCTCAAAACGTTGAAAATAGAACTACCCTATGACCCAGCAATTGCACTGCTGGGTATTTACCCTAAAGATACAAACGTAGTGATCCGAAGGGGCACGTGCACCCGAATGTTTATAGCAGCAATGTCTACAATAGCCAAACTATGGAAAGAACCTAGATGTCCATCAACAGACGAATGGATAAAGAAGATGTGGTATATATACACAATGGAATACTAGGCAGCCATCAAAAGAAATGAAATCTTGCCATTTGCGACGACGTGGATGGAACTAGAGGGTATCATGCTTAGCGAAATAAGTCAATCGGAGAAAGACAACTATCATATGATCTCCCTGATATGAGGGAGAGGAGATGCAACATGGGGAGTTAAGGGGGTAGGAGAAGAGTAAATGAAGCAAGATGGGATTGGGAGGGAGATAAACCATAAGTGACTCTTAATCTCACAAAACAAACTGAGGGTTGCTGGGGGGAGGGGGGTTGGGAGAGGGGGGCTGGGGTTATGGACATTGGGGAGGGTATGTGCTATGGTGAGTGCTGTGAAGTGTGTAAACCTGGCGATTCACAGACCTGTACCCCTGGGGAAAAAAATATATGTTTATAAAAAATAAAATTAAATAAATAAATAAAAGGCATTAAGGGCAGGACTTCTTCATCAAGTTACAAATTTTTCACCTTGTTATGTTAAAGATTAAGAGTCTGCTTTTCAATTTATACTATTATATCTAATAAAACTGCCCCCAATTTTTAAAGAAATATTTGTTTTTTTATATATTCTAATTTCACAAAGCAGATGCCATTTTCCATGGACTTAATCCACTATGAAGAATTTCATACATATAAAAGTAAAGATGATAGAATTTCATACATATAAAAGTAAAGATGATAGCATATTGAACCTCCACATACCCATTACCCAGTTCCTTCAACAATTATCAGTTCATCCACCAGACTGCTAATGCTTCCAGCTTTCTACTCAGAGGAAGTCACAGAATACATCTGTTTCCTTCTGGTTCTGCTCAGCTTAGTCACTGGAGACATAGTTTATTGCCTTCTTTCAAATAAAGATGATAGTATCTTCTTCACCATCAATTTCTAGACTGAAGATGTCCTGTTGATCAGTGGACTTTACTTCCTGAGACATGTTACAACCCGTATCTATCCACCACAACCAGCTGCAGAGGTGACACAGAAGCCGCTCCCGAGACAGGACTAGCCAGGCCTCGGATAACTGCAAAAGTTCCTCACCTTGAGTCTGTCCAGATTTCCTAAGCATGTTGCTGAGAAGAACAGGTTTACAGGGGCACAACGAAGCCTTTCTCAGTCGTGACTCCCAGTGAGCATACAGGCTCCCTGAGCTCTCCCTTTCTGCCTGTATACAGGGCACACGCCCTAGAAACCATTACCAGCTTGAGAAGACACATTTAGGCTTTGTGCTTTTTTGAAGGAAAGGTATACTTTCAAGCTCCTTTCCTTGTTTTCAGTAACATGTAGTAGCACTGAGATGGAAAATCTACTTCTGGAGGTTCTGAGAACTTTTAAGAATTTGGGGGAGAGGAGTCTGACCTCCACTGGGTATTAACCAACTAAGCAAAAATATTCCCCATTTGTATTTCTATGTGCCCCCCTCCACCCCCGCCGCTGTTTCTACAATCTGCAGAACAGAACTGGCAAAAGCATTACTGCTCTTAGCCAGCTTGAAGGAGAACACACCGTCACCCAGACTGGGTGCAGGTCACATCCTGCTCCCATCCCCACTCCGTGCTGAGCAGGGCTCTAAACAGTCCTGTCACAGTAACTTTCCTCTTGTTATTCCGCCAACAACAAGCAATTACGTGTCACAACTGACGTCAGCCAGCCTCCGAGACTGACGTCGGCAGGCTGTGTCACAGGCCTTGGCGTTAAAGCTGCTCCTGCCCTTGAGGAGAGATGCAGTGGGCTGTGCATGTAACTGAGTTCTTGAGTCTGCAAAGCCCTGGGCGGGGGAAAGAGCAGGACTTGCACAGACACACAGCAGCCCTCAGGGTGCCCTATGGCCAGTTGTCAGCAGAGCAGTCAGGATGGGAAGGAGTGGGGGTGGGCCAAATGCCTGCTTCCTTTCATCCTCCAAGTTCTGTAACCCACAACCAGAAGTTACGTAGATCTTGGGGGCCTTTCTTCTACTCTCAGAGGCTGGATAAATGTTCTATCTTCACCACTTTGCAGGCTCTGATGATGATGAAATGAGATATGGTGAAAGAAGAGTATCTTGAAATGTGTTGGAGTGATACTCTCTGTTGGAGTGATACTCTGTGATTCGGTTTCAACGACCAGCGTCTGTAGTTACCCTCCTGGCTTCCACCTGTGCCCCAGGACCTGTAGCTCTTGGAGGAGCACACAAACCTGGTTACTTGCGTGCAGGAGCTTTACACAGAACGCAGGCCCAGGACGGAGGTAAAGACCTGGGATGCCATGCACTCTGATGGGGTAACAGGGAGAGCTGGTCAGCACTACGTGGAAGTGCTCCTTACCCAACTATGATCTCCAGCTGATTGCTCCAAGGCTGGCTGCCATGAGCTGGGACCCTATCACTTAGGGGAAACCAGGGAATAGAGAGTATTTCTCTGATGCTTTTTCTGTACCCAATACCTTCAAGCCTCAAACCCCTCACAGTGGGTGAAAATGCCTCCGCTTTCTGACCCCCTATCCTCTCTTTCTTTGAAAGATGCATACCATTTAGCTTAAGTTTTGCATACTCTTAATACTGAGGAAAGAAAGGAAATCACGAAGTGTTTACCTACATGCCACTGCCTCAGCCACTGACTACAGGAGTAGCTTAATTATGGGTTGTTTAATGATCTTTAGTACAAGGGAGGGAATAAAAATCACAAAACCTTAAGATTAATAAAAGAGGAAAATGGAACAAATCTGTTAAATTCCACTCTGATTCTATTTTAGAAAACAAAGGCGGGGTGAAGAAGTAAGCAAAAGGAGTAAACTAGTCAGTGTGGTGCCTGAATTGGGTACAAAGTAGCTCTTTGCTTCTTCGTATTACAGCAGCCCTTTCCTTCAAAAAGGATAAATCCTCGACCAAAGTAGAGGCTGAGAAAACAGAAAACACATATTCCCTTTAAGAGAGAAAGTAAGTCAGGAGATGAGCCTACACCCCACCTAACTCCATTTCAAAACAAAGGAAGCCAACAACGTTACAGCTGATTGAGTACAAAGTATAAAGCGGGAGGAGGAAGAACTTTCTCAGGCATTTAGAAATGCCCGGCTTTGCATCTATATATCTGACCTACCAACTCAAACACCTAACAAAGGGGCACCTGGATGGCTCAGGTGGTTAAGCATCTGACTCGGCTTCAGCTCAGGTCATGAAGTCAGGATCCTGGAATCAAGCCTCAGATCAGGCTCTATGCTCAGCACAGTATCCGATTGAGATTTCTCCCTCTCCTTTTACCCCTCCCCGGCTCCCCAGCATGCTCTCGCTCTAAAATAAATAAAATCTTAAACAACAGACTACCCCCTCCCCAACACACACAGACAAAAAACCTAACAAGATTGGAATTACTATCTTATGAGGAATGTGAGTTCCAGAAAGGGTGCTAACAAAAGGTCACAGAGTTAGGATACAGAACCATAATTCAGACCCAGGTCCCTTGTCTCCACAGCTCACAGTATTTGTGCTAAGCTATAGCTGGGGTGGCACTGGGTGTTGTAGATAAGTGCCTCAGCCACCTCCCCCACTCTGGCTTTAAATATCAAGTCTGCTCTAGTAGCAGCATAGAATGGACAACTAACTGGCTTGTCTTCATCAACTTACCTCTCATACCTGTGTCTAGTTTGTCAGTATCATCTTTGATAAATCACTAGATGAAATAAACACAGTGACCTTATTTTCACCTCACTAATAGGGCTCAGTAAGAAAAGTTACATAAAACAGTCTGATAACATAGGCAATTACAAACTTTGTAAGCAGATAATGGCTTACAAGTGTGAGACCTACTGTTACTTTTCAGTAACTACTTGATAAATTGTCACCCTTTCTAAAATGAAGAAAAATACCATATGGAGTTTGGAGGGAAAAAGCAAAAAAAAAAAAAAAAAAAAAAAAGGCAACAATGATGGAACCGAGATCCCAAAGGAAGGGCAGTCAAGTCAGGAGGAGTATGAAACTTATAGAAAACAAGGTGACTTCAGGCTGGACTGTGGCACACTAAATGATTAAGATCAACTTGCCAGCTGAGAACAGTCTAAAAATTTAGACAAATTCAAAATGCTTCCACTAAAAAACAAAACACCAAAGGTCTAATAGTTATTATCAGGCAGAGAATAAGGAGAAAAGGTGAGCTTTAAGAAGGGAGTAGACAGGGCGCCTGGGTGGCTCAGTGGGTTAAGCCGCTGCCTTCGGCTCAGGTCATGATCTCAGGGTCCTGGGATCGAGCCCCACATCGGGCTCTCTCCTTAGCAGGGAGCCTGCTTCCCTTCCTCTCTCTCTCTACCTGCCTCTCTGCCTACTTGTGATCTCTGTCAAATAAATAAAATCTTTAAAAAAAAAAAAAATTCTTTAAAGAAGGGAGTAGACTGTTCTACTTTGGTGGTGGTTGCCAATCCAGGAAGGGCAGCTGAGATCTACAGAGACCAGATGGAGAAAAGTGGGACTGGGTAGGAGTCATGTGGCCACCAGAAGCAGAGAACTAGCTATAATACTGCTCATCTCACTCCTCTCCATGAAAGGTGCTCTGCACTGTGGGAGTAACTGAAAGCCAGAGTTGCTTCTAAGACTCAAGAAGATGAAGGAACAGAAAGGAGTCTGAATCCAGAGCCTGGTGAAGGCACAGACTCCAAAGTAACAATTCCCTTTCTGGATTGTCTCTGAAAGGTTCAACTTTGAAGCAGAGAGAGGGACTGCTAGGGAGGAGGGGGGTCATTCACATGACCTGGATAAAGCTCAAGCCTTGTTCTTGGACAACTAGTGCTCTTAGATGCCCTGGCTAAAGAAAACAGAGATCCTACTTGGACGAAGCGAACATCATCTAGGTTTTCAAGTATTGAAAGCAAATTCTCTCATAAAGTGTTCTGCAAATAAGAAGTGATGAGATATACTTTGAAACAAGACAACAGGGTAACAAAAGGCTGCAGGTATTCCAGATCTGAGGTCCTCTGATGCAGACTGTAGAAGAACTATGCTTCCTACAGTTCACTGAGATAGAGGCTGAATTTAAGACTATTTAAAAGCAACAAAAAACTAAAACATGATAGAACGGTTGAAAAAGATACTAGTATCAGAGAACTGAAAAATGAGGACTAAGGCATCAGTGAGTGAGTTTAGCAGTAGGTTATACCAAATTAGAAGAAACTATCAACGATGACACATGGAGAAACAAAGCAATGGAGGTAGGGAAAGAGGGTATGAAACACAATGGATATAATGAGTAGGTCTAACATATGTTTACCAGCAGTTCCAGGAAGCAGGGAGAAAATAGGATAGAGACAATATGGGATAGAGGCTGAAAATTACTCATTTAAAAAAGAAAAAAATCAACTCCCCAATGAAAGAAACCCAAGCATAGAAAACCCATACCCAGGAACACCATAGTAAAACTAGAGAAAACACACTCTAAACCAGACAGTATTAAAAAACAAAATCATAAAAGCAGCCAGAGAGATATCCTGAAGACAGACCTGAGAGTTCTTAACTGCATCATTAAAAGCCAAAAATAGCGGAAAGAGTCTCAAGGTGCTGAAAGCCAAAAAATACAAACCCAGAATTCTTAGTGAAAACTGCATTCAAGAACAGAATAAGATAATGACATGTGATAGAATCAAAACTTGAATAGTTTGCTACCAGTAGATCATTAAAGTAAATTCTTTAGGCATAAAGAAAATAGCATTTGCAAATTACCTGATGACCCATCAATAATAAAACAGATAAACTGTGATATATTCATATCATAGGATCCTATATATCAATGAAAATAAAGAGCAAAGAAATAAATATAACCGTTAAGTCCAAATGAATATTAAATGTATATAATAATATTAGTAATAATAATGTCTTGTGGATTTTTTAAAAAGTATCACACATGGAGAAAGGTCAAAAAATAAATGACCATAAACATATGAAAAGGCAGTCAACTACATCAGTCATCAGGAAATATAAATTAAAACTACAGAAAATACCACCACATACATACTGAACAACTAAAACTCTTATATATTCCTCATGGGAGTAAAAATTGGTAGCAGTATAGTAAACCACTTTGTAGATTCTTATAAACACCTGTAACTCTCTGTAATCCAACAAGCCACTCCTAGTGCACTGCCCACAAACGTGTCTGCACATGGGCCCCACGATACATATATAAGAATATTCATGAGCCCAAAGTGGAAGCTATACAAATATCCAGCAAGAATCAAACAAAATGTGAGATATTTGCATAATGGAATCCTATATATCAATGAAAATGAGTGAAAATGAACACAGCCACACACAACGTGACTTCATCTCATTATATTGCACACAAGCAGCCAGAACAACAAATTTACTAATATGATTTCATTTATCTAAAACTAACAACAAAACTACACTACAGTTAAGGGATTCATAGTTAGGTAATGGGAGTATAAAAAGAATACGTGGAAGAAAATATCAAAAAAGCTGGGCTGCTGCTAGAAGGAAGAAGGCAAGGATGTGGGAGGAGAGGATGATGGGAGGGGTCAGGAGGGGGTACTTCTTGGATGCTGCCTATGTTCCTGACCTAAGTAAGGATGACATAGGCATTGGTTAAACAATTTATTGTTTAGCAGTTAATGAACTTTCCTATTTGTTACAGTTTACTGTCAACTTTTAAAAATGACAGATTAGTTAAGATTTAGTAATTTTAACTATGTGAATGCTTGTTTATTAAATAAGGAAATATATTCCTCATGTATGTGGAATATCAAAAAAACTTGGGTTTAGTGATTCCAACTGGACAAAGGAAGCACATGAAATTACTAATGTGATTTAATACAGGAAAAAATACTTAATATCATGTAATTATTGAGTATGTACTAGGAGCTAGAAATTAAGTTTTATCTGCTAGAACTCTTCAAGGAAAGAAAAATTCTGACCTAATAATTTAGAAGCTTTCATGTCTGAAGTAGGACAATGAATTTGAAATCTGGAGCATTCCAGTTCTTTGACACTACCTCAGCTAAGACACAAGGCCGTCCCCTTCATTGCTAGTCATGTGTTGGACTGAATTAAAATTCAGCCTACATCACATTCCTAGAGCCAAACATGAAA